TTCATCATAAACTTAAATACAATTAGATAAGTAATATATGTAATTATTTGTATAGATATAAATATGTACGTATACTAGCGGAGCGGCGGTTTTTTTATCAACAATGGCAATATACCTTAAAAAGGTTTAAAAATCCAAAACCGAAGATAGAGTTCACATAAACGGTTGCATAAGAATATACTCGAACACTACGTGCAAAGCATATCCTAAGCTTTAGAAGGTGACAAGCTAAAAAAAATGGACCGCTTTACACGCTAAAGAAACATCTTAAAAACAAAATAAAAATAGAAAACACCATTGAATTACGAACTTATGACATGTCCAAAGAAACTATTGTGTTTTTGCCACTTAACCTAAAAAACTTTTTGTATTTGATAAATATGAAAACCGTAAATATGAGTTTGCCCTCTTTGGAGTCATATCCATACTTGACTACATGCTAATTAATCCATATTTGAATTTGAACTCCGCAAATAGATAAACAGAACAACATTCGATTTTCTTCAAACTTTTCAAATGACTGTCTAGTAAAATTTAGTGTGTTTATTGATTTGTTTTGTTTGTAATGAATATTGTCAAGTATAATTTGCTTTGCTTTGTAAATTGTAATCAAACCCGATAACGGATCGAAGCCAAGTAGTAAAAAACGTACTAGTAAAAAAGGTTTCAATGATGCTAATCTCCAAAGTCCAAACAAACCACAATTTCCTACCACGTAAGCAACTTATGGTTAGAATTTCATATTGGTCACGTGGAGCCCATGTCCCTCCCACGAGAGGTCCCTCCTTTTTTTGGAACTGAGCCGAGAAAATGACTTTCATTTTTATTCTTCTTATTTTAACAACAAAAACCAGTCACCGACCTCACCACTCACCAGCTGTGTCGGAGAGCGACCGCACCAGCAGCCATCTCGCGGTGGCAGGACCCACTACCCGACTTATCCACGTCAAACCTGACTCGACTAATCGGCTCGTCACGCCTAAAACCATCTGCCACGTGTCGACCGCCGTAGTTTAGATCCCATAAGTGTGGGTCCCTCGTTATGGTTATGATCGGCGGTTTTCTTGGAACTATTAATAACATTTCATTAACAAAATTAATTAATCACAATCGCGTTGTAACAGCCCACCGTGCGAGGGAAACGCTTTTACTATAATCACGGCGTTTTCACCACGCGCCTCACATCTTTCATATCCGTCACGCGCTGTTCTCATTGGCTTCGTGTAGTACACGTACACGTAACCTGTCTCCTCAGAAACCTCTTGCGAGTCAACAACCGTCGATCGTGAGATAGTTTTTAAAGGAATTGCGAAAAAATATTCAATTTGTTTTTGTTACGTAAATACAGAAAGAAAATCTATTTTATATTTTTGTTTTCAGCTTTTCACCTTCCCAAAGTAATTTATTCTTATGTATTTTCTAAATCAGAAAAGAGTGAAATTTTGGACGTATTTATTTTAGGGATAGTTTCTGCGATTTTCTCGGGGACTTAAAGACATTATTCACAGTTTCTTCCCATTTATTTTCTGTGTCCCTTATTTGATTGCCGAGAAACCGCGAGAG